AGGCTTAGTCTTTCTATCTGTATAGTCAGTGGTGCAAAGTAACTAAGTTCATAAACTCAAGTACTACTGTATACTTGGGTACAATTTTGAGATACTTGTACTTTATTTAAGTATTTCAATGTTTTGCTACATTGTTCTTCTACTCCTCTACAATTCAGAGGTAAAAGGTGTACTTTTACTCCACTACATGTATTTAATCCCTTTAGTTACTTTACAGATCTGGATGAATGATGTGAAATATAATCAAGTGTTAAATCAGACTTTAGTTCCACCTGGAGTAAATTCACAAGCTACCCTGCAGTATACAAAGTCATTCAAACTAGCTGCACCTTTACCAGCTTTGAGAACACTTTCATGATCAATCATTATAAAACGTATCATATATATTATTCTGAAATGGACCAATCTGCACAATGACTACTTTTACTGTCGCTACTTTAACTATATTTAGATGACAATACTTTTCTACTTTTACTTAAGGAACATTTTGAATGCAGGACTTTTACTGTAACAGAGTATTCCTACACTCTGGTACTTCTACTTTTACTAAGTACAAGACCTGAGTACATCTACTTCTACTCAAGTACAAGATCTGAGTAATTCTACTTTTACTCAAGTACAAGACCTGGGTACTTCTACTTTCACTTAAGTACAATACCTGAGTACTTCTACTTTCACTACAAGATCTGAGTACTTCTACTTTTACTCAAGTACAAGATCTGAGTACTTCTACTTTTACTCAAATACAAGATCTGAGCACTTTTACTTTTACTCAAGTACAAGATCTGAGTACTTCTACTTTTACTCAAGCACAAGATCTGAGTACTTCTACTTTTACTCAAATACAAGATCTGAGTACTTCTACTTTTACTCAAGTACAAGATCTGAGTACTTCTACTTTTACTCAAGTACAATATCTGAGTACTTCTACTTTTACTCAAGTACAAGATCTGAGTACTTCTACTTTTACTCAAGTACAAGATCTGAGTACTTCTACTTTTACTCAAGTACAAGATCTGAGTACTTCTACTTTTACTCAAGTACAATATCTGAGTACTTTTACTCAGTACAATATGTGATAACTTTTACTTTTACTCAAGTACAAGACCTGAGTACTTCTACTTTTACTCAAGTACAAGATCTGAGTACTTCTACTTTTACTCAAGTACAAGACCTGAGTACTTCTACTTTTACTCAAGTACAAGATCTGAGTACTTCTACTTTTACTCTAGTACAAGATCTGAGTACTTCTACTTTTACTCTAGTACAAGATCTGAGTACTTCTACTTTTAATCAAGTACAAGATCTATAGCCTACTTATACCACCTCTGTTTATAGCCTATGAAAAAAACTATTAGAAAACGAAGGCTAAAGCTAACGTTAGCAGATAGTGACAAAGATAGTGACAGTGACAAAGCGCCTATTAGGCGTTCACACCGGAATAAGGATTACGGCCCCTACACAAGGCGGCGTGCGTTGAAGCTTGCCGGCGGGGGTGTCTGAAGCTCGACCAACAACCAATCACATGAATCTCCCGCCCCGGACACACAAGCACGCGGTTTGATTGGCTAGAGCTTGTACTGGCATATGATTCGATTGGCTGACGCTTCCGTCAAAGCTTCAAAAGTAGAACATTGCTCTACTTTGGAAGCGAGCAACGCGAAGCTTTGCTCCCACAATGCAGTTCGGCAAAGCGTGACGTCACCCCATTCAAAGTGAATGGGCAGAAGCGTTGAAGCTTCAACGCACGCCGCCGTGTGTAGGGGCCGTTAGGCAAGTGAAGCCGCTGACGTCACTTCTTCTTCTTCTGCTTTGGGTTTACTGGCAGGTCGCAAACAACTTCACGGTGTATACTGCCACCCGAAGTCCCCGGCCGGAAGTCCCCGGAGTTGGGGACTGGCTTCAGAAGACTCCCAGCCAATCAGAAATGGGAACCTTTTTCTCCCATGAAAGTACCTGCTCTCTAGCAGGGACTGAAAAGGGGGTGAAAAGGTTCTCATTAACTAAGTTCTAGTTCCGGATTTTTTTGGTGTGAACACAAATTTTCGGAACTATATCGGAACTGGGAAAAGTACTCCGGTGTGAAAGCGCCTGTATGCTAGTTAGCTAGCTCAACGATTCCTTAAATAATATTGCGACAGAAACACTTTTCAGTTCACATCACGCTCTGCCGCTCCGACAGGGGGCTCTGCTCTGAACACCTGAACGGCCCGTTCTAACAGCTGTTCACCAGCGGTCCAGTCTGTGCCACAGTGACTCCGGACTGCACAGTTACTATTAACGAACGCACCCGTAGGTAATGTAGCTGCTGAAGTTAGACCCTCATGCCGGAGCAACAGAGTTCAGCCGACAGACAGAGGGTGTTTCTCAATGTCGAGTAAAGCTGCTTCAGAGCCACTATTTCAAGCATACTACGTCATCGAGTGCCGCCGAAGGACTGTTCAAATGTCCAGCATACTTGGAATTCTACCGAGCCCGGCGTACTTCGTAGCGAGAAATTTCGAGGCTGCACGTGTAGACTCCGCGGTCTTAAAATCCCCACAATGCTTTGCGCACGGACCAAATTCCCCAAATCTGTGGCAGAAAATGTAAGGTGGGGCCACTCATATGACGCACACCTGCACACTTGCTCGCCTGTTCCACTCTTCGTTTTCCGAATGCCAGGAAGTATTCTTGCCTCGCTTCTGAAGCAAGATGCTCGGAAGACATGTGCTACCAAGCAAGCGTACTCGCGATTGAGAAACACCCAGGAAGACTCGAGCATACAGTTTGCGCGTCACGATGGCACATAACAGCTCGCGTCCGCAGATTACTCCGGGTCCCAGACCCCCCCCATACCCCAAACATATTTTTATTGCAGATCTGCATGAATCACAAAAACTAGCCAACCTATTTTGGATTCAAAACGGCGAATTTAGCCGAAAGGTGACAGGTTTGCATCCCTGAAGATGATATCGTTCGAATGATCTTGCATTATAAGTGTATTGTGAAACTGTAGATATTTACAGCAAAATACAACACATTTAATAGTTTCTCATCAAGAGGAGACCAATGGCTGCAGGGTAATAACAGAGATGTCATGTTGTTGGGGTTTTATTTCAGATGAGCTGTCCAGATATCAATAATTCCTGATAAGGCTGGTCTCGAGTCTTACATAACGAGGGGCGACCCGCCGCCTCTCATCCTTACTGTAATTGTTGTGTGCATCAAAGAGAGGCAGATTGACAGGCTGTATGGGAGGATTAATACAGTGAGGAGGAACAAGAGAGGGAGAGCAGGCTAAGAAACGGGGGTGAGAAGGAGGAGCACAGGAGAGGACAAAAACTGGGGAGAGAGTTAACGAGAGGGAGAGCAGTAATTGTGTGCATTGTGCCGGCGCTTCTTTTGCTGAGTGTGGCTGTGGAGGTGCGGGTGCTAACCCCTCCAGCAGCCCGCCGTGATCTGAGCCAGCTCTCAGACTGCTGTATTCCAATGCAATTAGGCCACTCAAAGGCCTGCTTAAAGCTGCACCCCCCCCACACCCCCCCACACCCCCCCCCCCCCCCCCCCCCCCCCCCCCACACACACACACACACACACACACACACACACACACACACACACACACACACACACACACAGATAGCAACAGCCCCTGTGGGTCCCCTCCATTGTAGCGGGGAGGTGTATTCTGTCCCTCTTTGAGGCCCTGGATGAAGAGACCACCCTGGGGAGCATAAAAAAGGGAGGATTACCTCTCTTTCTTTCCCCCTTTTCCTTCTGTCTTTCTCTTTATCTCTATCTCTTTTGGTTTAGGAGTTCACCTCCAAACGAGGCGAGCTTTGGTTCGCTCCTCCAAAGAGACTCTGTGCAGGAGGAACCAGGAAGAAGAAGGTTTTCTGTGATGGATGTCATCGCGGGACTGCTTTCGCTATATCACTTCCCTCTTCCTCTTTCATTATTCATACAGTCATATATTTCAACAAGTGGCGTGGGGGGTGTAGCTCGGTGCTGGTCCCCGCTGGCATCAGTCAGTCAGGCCCCTGCATTAAGAGAGAGCTCTCCTCCACAGCAGAGTTCTGTTGGCTGGCTTTCAGCGCCTCTCGTTCCCCCTAGAAAGCATTTAAAGCAGATTACCAACCTAACGCTACACCTCCCTAATAAGAGGGAAAAAACCTGGCACATTAACACCTGCAATACCACTCAATGGCATCAACAGATTAACGAGGTAATCCACACAATGAGGTCTTTGATTCGTGTGCTTTGGCAGGCAATAACGCCAGGCATAATGCACACTGTTATTTCAGACCGTCCCAGCACGAGGGAAGCTGGCAGAAGCCGTTTTTTTTTGTTCTTTCCGTCAGATGAGCTTTTGATGAATTTCAAATCATGCATCTGGTGTGTTTGCCTGCTTCCTTGTCAGTGAAATAACCTGCTGGCTGCTCCTGTGGCACATGTGAGGAAAAGGAGAAAAGGGGGAGGAATCACAGGCTTTTTCTGAAGGCTGTTTAAACAGCAGGGCTGAGGAGCTCTCCCTCACCCCCCCCCCCCCCTCCTCTCATCCACCCATTTTTCTGCATAAGGACGTGCGTATGTAAGATGTGTGTGTGTGATAGATCTCGCGGCCCCATTGCTCATGTGCGGCTCGATTAGCCCCACGTGCCTCGTTCGTCAGACGCAGAGCAGAGCAGATGGCAGGAGACGCACCGTGTTACCATGCTGCGGCACTATGTAACGCTGCTCTAATTGAAACATCAATACCGCCCTGTCAATACTGCTATACTTTACAAAACACCATAACCTACAGACCTACACTTGACTGGGGGAAACATCTCTGTGTTTGAGATGCAGTGGGAAAAAAGTTTAAAATTGCACCAAAGTAACTTTTTGTTCTGTAATTGTTATGGGTGTCTTTCGAATCCTAATTTCAATTAAACACTTGGGTTGATTTGTGTTTGTGTTGTGCTGGTGAAAGAAGCATGCAGCAATGAGAGAGAGAGTTTCCTCCGCTGTGGCACATTTTTAATGAATTGATAAAAAGTTGAGGGAGTTCACATGCTGTGATCGGCAATTCGACGCTATCGGAAATTCAGCGGAGAACAGAGAGAAATTAGGCGCTTAGAAATTAATTTGCTATTTGTCCAACTCAATGAGGAGTGACACAGCCCCTTTAATGAATGGGTAATCCATTTCTTATTGCGCTGAGCTGAGTTCACCCTTCAATGAAGTGGAAAAAGACAAACATATCTTTCTCTAACCTTTGCAACATCCCAAAGCTCATGAGAGCTGCTCCTGAGACTATTTGTTTTTTTGGGGAACGATTTGTACGTCTGTGTGTGTTTCTGTTGGGGAGGGATTGAGTTTTAAAGCCAAGATAGGAATCCACAATAAATAATCCGTGCCGACACTGAGGCCACGGTCAAAGTGCTGTACATGGAATTGATTCATGATCAATTGGCTTGCTCCAACAGTCTTTATTTAACTGTGAGTCATGTTTGTTTCTTCATTTTCCCGCAGGCTGCCTTGAGCCCCCCCCCCACCCCCGTCTTGCTGCTCCTCCTGGATCTGAAGAGTGTTGGTGATATCCCGGAGAGTCCGTAAGGGTAAGGACCTTTTCACTCGATCCAAATTCTCCATGATGGTCTTTGTCTCATGAAGCTCCTTCACATCAGAAGGTCGTGACCCCGTGGAAGACTTCTGTGCCTCATCTGTCTGATGTAACTGTTGGATACACATGAGTGTATGACATAAGAAAACTTAACTGATAGGAAATACACTTGGAAACATGCAGTCAAAGCCACTAAGGCTACAACTATAACTACTTAATAAGTCTAAAACTGAAAAATACTCCGCTTAATACGAAAGCAGGAAATGTTCATCCTTGAGAGGCTGAAAAACTGCAATATCTGCGGTTATCCGGTAAAACATGATTAATTTGATGGTAATTCATGATCAAAATAGTTGCCAGTTGAACATCAGCTGATCTTATTATTTACAAAATTCATTGATACATCTTTGTGTCTGTAACATTTAGAAAAATGCCGGGGAACATTTCTTAAAGCCCATTTCTGTTGATCCGAACTTAGTAAGCTATCCCATAAGACAAAGAAATACCTACAAATATCCCAATACAGAAGCTTGAACTAAAACATTGTTATACTTTTTGCATTACAAATCTGGCTCGATAAAAGTAACAATAAATGATGTAAAAAGTCATGAAGCACCTCCTAATATTCCCACAAAAATGGTAAGAAGAAAGCTGCATTAATTTGTACCAATCTTCTGTAGGGCAGCTAGCCAGTATCTCGATGTATGGTGCTGCAGCTTACCTGGAGAGCCTTACTGGACGTCAGGGGCTTTTTGAGGGTCTGCTCCTCCAACGCTAAGTCTCCAGAAATCTTCAACATCTGTTGGAACAGATATTTGGTGTTAATGACAAATAAACAATAACAAAGGGTATAGCGACAGATCAAATGTTCTTCAAAATGTTTTAATTATTTCAAGAGTCATTTAAAATGAAAGTCAAAGGTGAAAAAAAAAGGTTTTCCATTCAACAGTAATTAAGTTAGGGGACTCACAAGAGACAGATTTTTTAAAGAATAGTTAAAATTTAAGTTACAGAGGCAAATATAAGCTAACTTTTATAACATAGTAAGAGTGCAAGCTCTATAAACGCTGAGTACTACGTCACCCATAATGCAGCCAATACAGTCCTTCATACAACAGACTCAATGCCCCCCAGTTTATCTGTTTGTAACATCATCTTTCTGTTAAATGAAGTGGACATCTTTATTCCAAACCTCATAACATCATCATTTCCTCCTCCAGAGGAGATTACAGCAACAGTTTGCATGGCTGAGTGGTACATCCTATCACTAGTGAATGAGTTTACATAAATGTGTAAAATATGTGCAGTGGCCCTTTGATCTTATTCTAATATGCCGTGATGTATTTATAGTTCTTGTGGAACATTATTAGTTCTAGTTAAGACTCCTCGAGGTCCTCCGTCTGTTGCACTTCACACCAGCGCCACTTGCAGCAGGGGTTGTGACTCCTTTGACATCCTTTCCCCCTCCTTATGGATGTTGTGAGTAAAAAAAAGAGTAATCACCAGAAGAAATGTGATGAAACCCTGTTTTCTTAAGGGAAAAAGACAGGGACCAAAAGCTACATTTGTAGTCAATCGAAAACTGGCTCTATCCGAGGGAGCGACGTTTCAGAATCTGGTTACGATTTGATCTTGGCTCAAGTTTCCAGTGAGTGTTGACGTGTCTGAGTTGTGAGGAAACCCGAGCCGGCAGCGTACAGCGGGGGCTTCACTAATACAGTATTTACAAGGCATGAGGAAGTGGGAGCGCATAAACAGACGGCACCATACACGGCACTTTCAATTATTTCTCACAGCATTCATGAAAATAGAAGCACAGTATGAACAGCAAAACTATAAAAAGACATGAAGCAAAAAGAGAACTCCCAAGCTAAAATAAATGGCATCGTATGCTGTCGTTGGTGAAGAGCTGAGAATAGTGTATGACTCCGAAGTATGAGAAATATAAATATTGTGTTGGAGTGGAGTGAGCAGTGATGGTGCAAAAACTGGAGCATTAGTAATTAGAGTTTATGTTGCAGTTTTGATTTTATCGCATTTAAAAATCAGTTTTGAGATTAAAATTGGTCTGAAGAACCACTTGTATGAACTGTAGTACATGTTGTATGAGTCATGTAGTAGCCTACAGCTTGTCTCCACAGGGTAAAACACTTCTAAAATAGGAATTATACATTAATGTCCTAGCCTGGGTGAGTTTAAAGTCTAATTATGTTTCCAAAATCATGCAAAAATGATTCAAATTGCTTTGAGCTAAATGCTAACGTCGACATGCTTAAATGCTCCAAAAGACAATGCTAACACGTTGTTGTTCAGTAAGATTTAACATGATCACCACAACATCTCATAATCAGCTCCTAACACAATGAGTCGTTCTTACAATATATTTCAAGTAGCTAAGAACTAAAGCGACTGCATTGTAAAACATGTTTTGGCAATCCTTTCCCGAGTGGACCGACAACAGACATTCATAGAGCTTTTATCTATAGCTCATATGGAATTAAGCTTCCTCAAAAACGTAGTTGAACAGGCAGCCTAATAAAGCATTGATTATAATGATTAAACATGGAAATGCACTTCCTCATGAACAGTTCGGTTGAAATTAGCGTTTTACATTAAGTCTGATAAGATCATTTGAATAGGAATCTGACTAGACGTACATTTTTTGTCAAAGTTATAGGAATCTAGGATTAGACTACAACAATGCTGTTGCAAGAGGCCTGAAATAGCCGTCAAGAAAAATCTAAGAAGTATTTTTGTAGTTTAGACTGTCAGATTTGCTCGGTTTTTACTGATGTCACTATGTTCCCATATCTCAGCAATTACCTCAGGAAGCACAGTTTTATTTCTCACCCATAGAAATGGTGACCAAAACTACAAAAAGCCAAAAGACTCAAGTGGTAATAAAGCGTTAATATCCTGCAGATTGGCAGATTTAGCATATAGTGCTGACGCCTCCACCACATCCTCTCTGTCCTCTAGCCATCAGCAGAAACAGGTGACAGCAGCTGATCTCTCTCCCCCTCCGATGAGAGGCTGTAAGTGAGGGGGAGAGAGGCTCACAGACAGAGATGTTTGTTTCCCAGCCCTTCCACCGTCTCTGTGGGACGACCCTCCCCATCCACAAACCCACAAACCCACAAACCCCCCCCCCCCCCCCAACCTAGTGGATCAAACAAAGGACATCATTTGTAGGCCAAGTCTTTTTCTGAGCGTCTCTCTCCTCGGCTCTGCATACCAATCCAATACAGCCCAAGGAAGAAAAAGAAAAAGCCACACCGTGGTACTTGTGTGTGTGTGTGTGTGTGTGTGTGTTTGTATGTGTGTGTGTGTGTGTGTGTCTGGGCCGGGGGTTGGAAGGTCTGTTTGCCTCTCCGCCAAGCATCGATTTATCCTTTTCTCCAATTTATTTCTCCTCCTTGCCTCTACGATCCATTCAGATCTGCCTCTAGGGGAGGAACTCGGGGTAAAGACGTTGTCAGGCCTCGTTGTTTCCTCCTATAAAACCGGCTCAAAACTCATCTACAGGCCCGCGGAGCGTGTTCCCCTGCAAGGACATGTCAGGCAGCAACACACACACGCACGCACCGCACGCACGCACGCACGCACGCACGCACGCACGCACGCACGCACGCACGCACGCACGCACGCACGCACGCACGCACGCACGCACGCACGCACGCACGCACGCACGCACGCACGCACACACACACACACACACACACACACACACACACACACACACACACACACACACACACACACACACACACATACATACATATGCAACATCTTCACCAACTTCACAACACATCATAAATAAAACATGTTGCAAGAAATGTTTTTGTTGGTGCACGGCCACCGTATATATTTAAATTGAAACACCAGCTTCAGCCAAAAAATACCCTCTCCTCAGATTTGAAAGGCTGATCAGATGAACTACACACGCCACACAACGTTTAAAAAAAGCCGATTCAAATAACAAATATGATTGCAATTTAGAGTTTTTTGAAGTGTCCTTAATGTACAGCAAAGTTGCTACTTGTGATGATTGTTAAGTGTAGGCCATGTGAGGAAGAGCCATAGTACATTCCTTCACCATTAGAATTATAATAACAGAGAAAACATTGTTTCACATCTTGTGAAACAGGTCATATTCGCCCCGCTTGTCCATTCGAAGAAGCCTGTTAAAGTCAGATACATTCTTCAGCATTGCTTGAACAGATTACATATGAATAAATATGGTATGTTCTTCATTAGCCTTAGTTGAAGAAGTTATTCTACTTTTAGAGAGTTTTATCTGAAATAAGGGTTTAAAAAATGTCTATTTATCTGTATCAGCTTTAGCAATATGCAAAATATCGATCAATCCCTATTGAGGAGACCACAACCTTTCCCTTAATATAAAAGAGAAGTTATACCCTGCTCTTATTTCCACAGTAGCAACTGTTGGTCAAGCCAGAATGATATTTAATTATTCCTCATATCAGGCCTACACTCAGAGTACGAGCAGATATGATCAGAATAACAATTTCCCTATTCATCTGTCTGTATGATTCTGACATGTTCAGATGTTATTACTCAAGGATTTGTATCCTAAAGCCTCTGCGTTGAACAGAAATGCTGCGTGTGCACACATCCCACTGTTGTACACACACACACATGGCAGAGGTCTGCGAGCAATTCCTCAGTGTCACAGTGAGCGACGCCTGGCACATCTTCACACCTGAAGTTGATCAATGCAGATATGTCCAGGGGGAAATTGAAATCCATAGGAAATTAGGCGGCGCCAGTGATTTATTGGAACAGTAAATCACAGTGTGTGAAACATGTGGGTTCCCGCTCTGTGTACAGTACTGTACCTTGTGTCTGGCTGGGAGAGTGATGTCAGCGGCCCGTATCTTCCTGCCTCTCTCCATCTGGTGGATCCATTCAATCAGCTCCAGAGTTTGGTAGCGGTCCCCATGTTGAAGCCCCCTGTGTGGGACGGGGTGACGTGACCCCATGGACACAACACCCTGCAGGGGTCCCTCTGAAGCAGGAGAAGAGAAGCTTTGAAGAACTTTTAAAGTGGTGCATGACACTGTTTGAATCAGTAGCTACGTTTTCATCCAAAATGTAAAGTTAAATTAAGGTATCTAAAAATATTTATAAGCTTGGAGTAGTACAACAATTAAAGAGGTGAAGCTTTAAGCTCACTTTTCATGATTAAAGAGGCCCTATTCTGCTCTTTAGGGTTTTCCGTTTGCTGTTTGTTAAAAAGGTATTTATGCAGGTAAATGGTCTGCAAAGGGAGAGTTTCCTTCCCACACACTCCCCCCCTGCCTGAAACGCCTCAATTGGACTCCTTTGTTTACTTCAGGAACATAGTGACATCACTATGTTACACTCGCACTTCACGTTGTCTTAGTACTTGTGCAATGACAATAAGGTTGAATCTAATCTAATCTAATCTTTGGTAAATAAGTAGATTTGTCATACAAAATGCACCCTTTTCAACCAGCTGTTCATTTGTCACAATTTGATTGAAAGTCTTGAAACTGGAACTGCTGGAATGTCCTCTTTGTGCTTCACTTTCAGTGGAGTGAAAAAAGGAAAATAAAAGTCAAACAAGTGACCTTATCTTAACCATAAATCTAATTTAATCCTATTTCCTTCAAGAACATCATCACCAAACTGCCCTCACTTTGGAGGGGTTTCCCTCAGCTTTCTACACTTCTGAAGCAATCTGATCCTTTTAAGAAAGGAACCGTAAGACAGAGTACAACAGGAAAATCAAAAATATAAATCCGACACTGAGTAGTTGTATGAGGAGATTGCATTCATGCGTGAATGTTCAAATAAATCCTGGAGGATTTTCTCAAGAATAAAACGGAGATAGTGTGCAGTGTGAACCCCGACTGAAGAATCACCGCCCCTCACTCCCACTCCCACACCCCTTCTCTCGCAGTTCTTTTTTCTGTTCCAGGTACACTGCCTGTGTTCCAGCTTGTTTTTGTCCTGCTTTAATTGCTTTTTTTTGTTGCAGGGAAGAAGAAAAGACAACAACAAGGCGGCGAGGGCTGCAGCTAATGGAGAGGCTGTAATTATGAATGGAGGCATTCATCTGGAGACGTCGTCCGTGAATTGCGCCGCACAATGTGCAGAGACGGGCTGCTCAGATCACCAACCAGTCACCAAACACACGCACACACGCACACACGCACACACACACACACACACACACACACACACACACACACACACACACACACACACACACACACACACACACACACACACACACACACACACACACACACACACACATGCTGAAGCCTTTAGATCATTGGTGCTTAGAGGAGGAACATAATCACAGCTCGGCAGAGAGCAGGACAGGAGGAGACGAGGAAAAGAAGGAGAGAAGAGAAGTGAGGAGCTAGGGGGGAGGAGAAACTGTGCAAGGAGAGAGGAGGAGAGGGGGGAGGAGGAAGTGGAGGAGACGGGATGGTGAAATTGATGTTTCCTACCTTTTTGATTTGGGCCATAGAACCCAGGAGGCCGATCAGATAAAGCCACATTTACACACACAAACACACACACTGAAATGTAAGTGTGTGTGTAAGTATGTTAATAAAACACAAAGGGAATAATGAATAGTCCATTGCATACTGTATATAAAACAAGTGGGCATCATGCAGGATGCAATATAATAACAAAGTATCTCTTATTTGTATCAATTCTTTACTATTTTGTCATATTTTCAGAATTCAATAAAGTAATTATTGTGTTCTCTTCTCCCAGTTAAAAGAAAATGTTACGAGTGGTGGAGAGCCCTCTCTCCTATCCCATAACATCTTGTGTTTAGAGTCCACAAATTGTTTTTTAAAAAAAAACAAAAAAAAGTTGTTGTCGAGTGGTTATAATAATTGGATAATTCAACGAGTGTCCATTAGACACACTATTGGTCCATTGATGCCAATTAAAACAATACAAACCCTTCCAAACATATGTTTCTGGAAAACATATGTTTATTCTGTTTGAGTTTATTTAACAAAACCTTGACTTCACTACTATTCAAGTTGTCCTTCTTTCAGCCTTTTTTGTTGGCATCCCTAAAAATCTTGGGCAAGTGCCAGATTATTTGCACACGGCACAACACCTGCCCATATATAGTGTTTAGGGGCCGTGTCCTATACGCTAATATTAAAGAGGCCCTATAATGCGTTCTTGGGTTTTCCCTTTCCTGTAGTTTGTTAAATACGTTGTTGTGCATGTAAATGGTCTAAAAAGGCTAACATCCCAAAGTTTCTCTCCCACACACTCCCCCTGCCTGAAACTCCTCCATTGGACTCCTTTGTTTACTTCAGTAACATAATGATATCACTATGTAACACTCGGGCTTCTATTGGCTAGCACTCCAACACATTGTACGTGATAGTCTAAGAGGCGGGACATCCCTAAGCGGTTGACCAATCACAACAGATACGGCCAGCTAACCAATCAGAGCAAACTGGGCTCTGGTTTCAGACAGAGGGTGAAAGAGGTGCTGAATCACAGGCAATATGAGGAAATGAAAGACCTTATGAACATTTAAGCATGTAAACATGTCACAGTAGAGGCACTGAATACAATTAGAATACGGCCCCTTAAAAAAACTCAGCCTCTGATATGATGAAGATGGATTCATCCTTCAATACACCTGGGTATGAGAAGATTTGATGGTTAAAATGTTTGATGCATCTGGTTGACTTCTCTTATTTTTGTCTTACCAGAAAATGTAAGAAAATATCAAACAAGAGAAATGTAAAAGGCTGTGCAGCATGAGGCCCATTGACATACTGTATACACAAGTAAACCTGTGTATACATACATTCTTTAACGGGTACTTTGACAGGTAGACATTCACAAACACAAACCTTTTAGACTATAAATACGCATTTACAGCCATATCAAAAATATTACTTTGTGAAGAACACTCTCACAAACCCCACGCTTCCCTCAATCTGCTGAGACTCACACGCACATCCTTCAACCAAACAAACACCATTAAGCCAAAACACACAGAAACACTGCTCAAAAAGACACAACAAAGCCTATGTGACGGTATACATAAAAAAGCCTCTCTTCTCAGGGAGCCGAGACGAGGCACCTGTCAGCGCGGCGGCTCCTGCTACTACAGAGAAACATCAGGAAACAACAACTCAATTAAACACACCATCCCTGTTCAATTACTGCCACATAATCACAGCAATTTGCCTTCACATGCTGTATAGCCACCAAACAAACACAAACAGGGACGGGCACACACACAGACGCAGAGAAACACACACCAACACACACAGCTTTCTCCTACACATCAGGAGCATACAGCTCACCATGTGGTGCTGGCTAGCTGACATTAACAATAGATTGAGAAGAGAACAATATAAATGGACTGCAATTACATGAAAACATATCCACTTCAGTATAAATGACATCAAAGTTTCTGTCCTAGAAAATGCAGTTGGCTTTACCAAAGATGCCCTATAAGAGAAGGTTGATCATTAAAAGGGGAGCAAATGGTATGGAATGAAACACACTTCCTGTTGCTTTAGTGACAGGAAGTGTGAACCATTTCAAAGCTAATGTAATTAAATTCTAGTTTGTTAACAGTGTAAACTCAAAATCAAAGAAGACGATAAAAACATAATTTAAGGGCAGACACTACAGCCAGAAAAAAAGTTTTTAATGTAAGGTTTAATTTGAAGATTTTGGGCCATTTAGCTTCAAGACAAGTCTTCTCTTCTGACCAAAGGAAAACATTTTTGGAAAACTAATTTCGGTGTTTATACTACTAACGTTGTCTAATTGCTTCTGTAGATTTCTCCTGATTTCATCAAAAGGGAGGTATCTTCCTTTCACTTTTTAGCAAACATCTAGCAAATATGATGCTAGAGCTAGGATGAAGTTAGCTTAGCTTAGCATAACAGAGGGCGTTGGTCTGTCCAACATTTTTGCTCTAACTTAATATTTAGCTTACAGGTTGCTTTCAATCTCCGCATCTAAATCTTGGCAAACAAAATAAAATAATGTGGAATAATTATATTTCCTAACATTTCAAAGCATTCCATTAATATACAAAACAGCATTCAGTATAATCGTCCTAGCAGTTGTTTTGAAATTGTAATGTGGGTGAAGTTCAGAGCAGGCAAACTACTACAGAATGATGTCATTGGGGAAAAGATTGAGAAATAGCAACACTGTAGGAAACCTGTGAATGAACAGTGTGTGTGTGTGTGTGTGTGTGTGTGTGTGTGTGTGTGTGTGTGTGTGTGTGTGTGTGTGTGTGTGTGTGTGTGTGTGCGGACAGCAGATTGACTAACAGCTTGAACTTGGGTTAGATCCAGGAGCACGGGGAGGGAAACATGGATGGATGGAGAGAGAGGGAGAGGAGGAGGAGGGGGAGCCATTGATTTCTCAACAGAGAGATCAGCATCTTGACAGAAAGAGACGAGACACACACACACACACACACACACACACACACACACACACACACACACACACACACACACACACACACACACACACACACACACACACACACACACACACACACACACACACACACACACACACACACACACACACACACACACACACATAAATGGTTCCCACTGAAGGTTCATGACCTTTTCCGTCTCTTTCCAGGTTTCTTAGTGTCCAAAATACATTTGTCCTTACTTCCCTGTACTCTGGTTTTTAATAAAGTTGGGCAAAAAATCTGAAGAATGTTACAATTCTATTAAGGTCCTTGACTTGTCTTAACTATCTTTCAAAAATGCCATGATATTCCAGGACCTTCTTGACCGGCGGGAACCCCCGTCGACAGAGATCAACAGGAAGGTCTGGTTCAGAGTCTCTTTCCCAGCATGCCTCGCTGATTCTAACAACCCTAAAACCCCCAACAGGGACACGGAGGACGATGCTGTGGCCGTGTCGGTGTGGCTAACGAGGTGTGTGTGTGTGTGTGTGTGTGTGTGTGTGTGTGTGTGTGTGTGTGTGTGTGTGTGTGTGGAGGTTGTGGGCACCGGGGAGCTGACACACCGTGGAGGAGGGGGAGGGGCAGCCAAGGGGTCAGGCTGTAATTACACATCACAGTCTCAGTGGTCAGTGGCCTGACTTACTTCCTCTGACTACACCGCCTCCACCCAGGAAGCAGGGGTGGCAGGTGGAGGTGTGATTGGAGGGTGAGGAAGTCTTTGTTCTGTACTTGTGGATTTAAAAAACATTTGACATTGTTTGGTAACACTTTCTATGTCCGTTTGTCCATAATACATTCGTAAAATACTTATAATGCATCTTTTATAGCACTGTATAAATGTTTCAGCACTTTGAGTCGTCTCAAATGCAGTCACTATTTACTCATACATATTCATAATGATTTGTAACAATACCCATAAAACATCATAAAAGCATTTTAAATGATTTAAAGTTACTAAACGTAAGTAAAGGTTCAAATACAATTAATAAAATCTACACATAACATGTGTACAAGAAACAAACAAAAAAACTTAAAAATAAAGCAAACGGTGAGAACTTTATAGTGACTTATAATCACATTATATTACATTATAATAATGCAAGAGGACAATATTATTATGTAGCTTGATAATGTATTATAAAACAACATGATTATTTATGAGTGCTTATAATAAGATGGTTCTTTAAGCAGCTAATGATACATATAAGCATCATAGGAAGTGGGTGTCATAGAAAGTGTTACTGAAATGTCTCTTTAAATGACTTTTTAAATGATTTTCTGCTTTTTTAACTAACTAATGCATCAATTAATTTAGGTGTTGCTTTTCAGAAGTACACTCAGAACATGTTGCAGTAACCCCGCCTGCTTCCATTCTCTCCTCAGTCGGCATGTGTTTAAAGCACACTCTCACATACCGTGCACGGCCCTGTGTGGGTGGTAGGTTCCGTAGAGGATGAGTGTAACACGTAGCAGAGCTCCGGATGCTTCGTCACTCGGTCGACTGCAGCTCAACACTGTGCCTCTGTGGTCAGTCACCTGGAAACAAACACAACAACAAGGCCATCATTTCACCAACAACCCTGATTCAATAGGAAAACGTACTTTAGTGGACTGAATTCATGGGGAGAAAGTTGGAATATACCACTGATGTAGTACATGACTACATCACTAGACTCTCTAACATACATATGGCTCTGCTTCATGCCAATGCACAGCCAAAGTAAATGGATTGCATTTATTTAGTGCTTTTCTAGCCTTTGCAACAACTCAAAACACTTTAAAATAACACACAACTCAACATTCACCAATACATTCATACAGCGATGGCACAGACTAACATTCACACATATTCAAACAGCCTTTGGCCAAAGATACTTTGACATGTCTACTGCATTGGCAGGGGATAGAACCGCCAACCTTACGATTGGTGGACAATCACTTTATCTCCTGAACCACTTCTTGATCAAAACTGCATCCACAACAATCAAACATTGGCAAATTATGCCTACTTGCACTGCCCCCATAATATTAAGAAGCAAAATGTTGAGATTTGAAATGAAACTTAATTATCTTAAATCCATGCATACAAATGAAATAACGAGACTCCTCAGATTATAAATGCATGTTTTGTGCATGTAAATGGTCTTCAAAGGCTAAAATGTCCTACAACGCCTCGATTGGACTCCTTTGTTTATTTCCGTGACATCACTACGTAAGACTGGTGCTTCTATTGGCTAGCGCTCCAACACATTGGAAGTGATAGGCCAAGGGCCAGGACTTCTCCAAGCTGTTGACCAATCACAACAGAGCCGGCCAGCTAACCAATCAGAGCAGACTGGGCTCTGGTTTCAGACAGAGGGTGAAAAGAGGTGCTGCAGCACAGGCAGTATGAGAAAAATAAAAAGCTTTTGAATAAAGCGTGTAAACATGTCACAGGAGAGACATAAAATACAATGATGAACCTGAAAAAAGCATGTGTCTTTCTGTGGTTGTTTTTTTACTTACAAAAGTCACACTTGATCATGACATCATGACTGGGCCCAGCTTTTAGCCATATATGATATGGTGCTTGTCATTAAGTTTTCTAACTTTATTTAATCGCTGTTTGTGTTTTCTACAACTGTATGTCTTTTCCCTTTGTGTGTTTTTATAAAATCTCATCTAGGGACAGGCATTACAAACTATCTTCAGCTATAAGTACTGATGTATGTGGCAAGTGAAGCGTCCCAGATGCTGGCTCGTCTGTCTTCCACCTGACACGTAACACCAGATAAAGCGAGCAATTGTCATGCCCGATGCTCATTTTTATTCCTGCCTCCCGGGGCTGATATCATTTAGTTTGATCCAGGCGTTATTGCAGAGGTGTGGACTCGAGTCATTTCCCTCAGGTTTGAGTTAAGCTCGAGTCATAAATCTGATGACTTTACAGTAGACTACACTAGAATTACCGCCCTGTGGTTGTATGCCTCCAGGTTTACAGTTCATCTTATTGGACATGTGAAGTTGTTGTCATTATCACATGAACATTAGAATTATGGTTATGGTTATGGAATTATTAAGGTAACAGTGACCTTGACTTTTAACCACCGAGTTGTGACCTCACTTTAACTTTGCTTTCTGACTCGAGACTTTGAAAAATATCCTCTGAATGCCTAAAGATGTATTAGGCAGGGCACACGGATTAAAACAATTGGAACAAATTAATATAACATCAAAATGTAATGGAGCCATAGTTGTCCGAATACGTTTCTATCATATCGGCCTTTAAAGCTGATAACGTAAAGGAATATTTTCCCCCTCTGTATTAATGACTAACTCTGTGTAAACTTGAATTTGATACAATGATAAAAAAACAAAACACAACAGAGTTGTCTTGCCAAATACATGCAATTCCACCAAAACCTTAATATTAAAAATACTTTTGCATAAAAAGTCTCATGCTGTGAAATTAAACTTGGATTATACATCTCGAGTTGTTGGAAATTCCGTAACAGATGTTTTAATATAGTTTTGCTGTTGTTATACATCGACCTCCATGTTCTTTAGAATCTTTGTTCAGAATTCAAGGTAATTAATGGTCATTTTGGGGATGAAGGACTCCCTCAAGCAGTTTTGAATCACCTCCAGTAATTTGGTGAACTAACAAGCTTGTGGAAAATTATCCTTAATCTTTTGAAATAAACATCAGTGTCACTGGCTTATTCAGTTTATGCACTCAACGTGTAATGTCATAAAAAAAATGAAAAACGTCCTATAGTCCAAAGCAAGTCAAAAACAGACTAATGTCATAGAAACTTATTACATCTACCAGAGCAGCTGCCAAACGTTCGTGTGTGTGTGTATTCTATATATGAGTGTGTGTGTCCCAGCAGACCAGAGGCCAGGCATGGCGGCCCCCAGCTGAGCGCTGCATTGATTTGTTGTTGGTAAACAAACAGCTGGATGTTACAGGTGGATCGATACGCCTCGCATGCCTGCCAGCCTCCCAGCATGCCTTTCTACTGGGTCGACATCGCTCGCCATGGCGCTGCGACCCCGCTGTCACTTGGAAACCTCATGAGGAAAATATTTTGAGTTGCCTGATTGTTTTTAATTAAGCTGAAGGTAATTTTTAACATACTCGCCTGACCATGAAATGCATAAATACCATTTTTGGATGATATTACTTTATGTACATTCTAATTCTATGTGAGGAAATACAATATTACATTGTCATATTTGGTGATGAAGTCAGCCATAAATCCTTTTTATGGTATACTAGTGGCATGATGTTTAACTATAGAGGAATAAAAAGCGTGAGCACTCCAGGGCATGAGGGAAGGAGAAATTAAACTGACTTTAAGACAAAAGAGAGACAAAGAAAATGAAAGGATTAGCAGAGGCAGAGGAACAGAGGGGAGAGGGGAAGGATTTCAAAGCCAGAGAGAGAAAAAGGAGAGTTAGGGGGGATTAGTGACGGGGGAGAGATGGCAGGATATCAGAACGGGTGAGTGTCAGGGAGAGGAAAGTGAAACCCAGCAATGGAGGATGAGCTTGAGAAGAGAGAGGAGTTTAGAAAGAAGAACGCAGAGAATACCGATCCCCTTTTAAAAATCAGCTGATACCCTATGTGTAAATTGAAATCTCTGCACTGCAGCTGCAAACTTTATTTTCACATTATTGTCATTTTTCTTAGGGTGGAAACATATCATTCATAAAAATCTCAAGTGAAACTCAGGATAAAACGTGTGTATAATGGCATTACATTACATTAAAATACAATCCTTACCCTACCAAACTCACCTGGCTTTAAGAATAATGGAGTTTAAATAATATAGTAATATTACTTTACCCTTAGCCCCTCAGAATATGGTATTAACATTGTTGTTTTAGCACATGGTTACTTTCGGGCAATGAACAGAAGCTTCAAAATAAAAGCCTTAAAAAAAGGAACCTGTGTTGGCTGTATTAGAGCGGGATGCAGAGAGGGATGGGGAGGGGGGGGGGCGTCTTGCTGTGTCTACATATGTAAAGCAGCAGGGAAGCAGCAGTGTGTCAGACTGAGGCTCAGGCCCAACCTGGGCTCCTCGCTGATCCCTCCAACACATCAATCATCCAAAACAGGGCCATCATGGCCCCGCTGCATGCTGGGAGACACACACATGCTGAGGCACACACGCACACACACACCCACACACACACACAGCTCCATGCTTAATCACAAACAAGGGAACACACACACAGGGTTGCAGAACGTATGTCTAAATAGTACACACAAGCACTGTAAGGCAAATGTAAGGTATTGAAGACACATGCATACACATCAGAGGTAAAACGTATGGATAGAGTATCACAGTGCGCACACACACAAATGAGAAAACAACGAACATTCTGCAACACGCACAGAGAAACTCATAAGCAAAAACACACCAAAAAGTGCACGTAGTACAAACACACACATGGGAGCGTGCACACACAGAGTCACACTCTCTCTGCCTCCCAGTCTCACACACAGACAAACAGAAATAGGTATCCTGTGCCTACAGGGCGCCCTCGCCCCCGACCATCTGTGACGGGTGCCAACACACAGTGGGTGATATTTACATGGAGACCCCCCCTCCACACATACACACACACACTTACACACACATAAGAAAAAAAGAAAAGAAATACCCACAAAGGGCCGCTCGGATCGCTTGATCTCCCAAAACTCATTAAACATGCAGATATATGTAAATATATGCACCTCTAGAAATCCACCTTGGGCCAGAGTGAGTGAGAGTGTGTGCGTGAAGGTACACACAATGTGTGTGTGTGAGTTTCACTGCAACTACCGGGGTGTCTGCTGTGCGTGAGTTTGTGTAGTTACTGTATATACTGAGATATTTTTACACTTGTTTACTACTTGTTGTGAGTGCTACTTCTCCTTGTTATAGGGAATGCATCAAATTATATTAAACTTTTTAAAGGAATAACTATTACCCCTTTAAGTAATAGCATGTTTAGGGCTGACTATCTGCGTTTCATTTATACTTTCCTGATTTCTAGTCGTGTCCTTTTCAGCTTGGACTTCTAATTGTCGGCAAAGCTGGGTAACAACTCCCACACTCTACTTTGTATAAAAGTAAAGTAATAATAATAGTTTTGCAATTAGTAAGTCATAAGTTAGTATGCTCCAACCACCCGCACTAACACCCACTGTACCTGTAAGTGGAGACCATAACAACCAGTTAATGGAATAAATTATCAAAAATGTGTTAACATGTCTTCAAACAAAAAAAATACATCATTACAAAGGGTGCAGAGGTATACGTTCAATATCTGGAGTAGTAGTCTGTTGAATGATTTTGATGGGATTGACTTTGTAGGTGGAGGTATGCTTTAGAAAGCAGCTCATATGTGTTAATTTCTATTAAAAAAAACGTTAAAATGATACTAATATTGGCCGCCATTTAGCTCAGTGGGTAAAGCTAGTGGCCCATGTACTAGGGTTCGGTGTGTCATCCCCACTGCCTGAAAAAATCTTTTTAAAAATGATACTAATATTTATGCAACTG